GTTATGCAGACGATAGCACGGGTGATGCACTGTACACGGCCCGCGCTAACGTTTCTCGGGCCACTGCCGATGAGAACCGGACCAAACTTGTGTCTGAACTGGAGACCCTACTGGGTGAAGTTTCGGACTGGGGTCGGCAAAATCTTGTTGACTTCAATCCCAAAAAGACACAAGTATGCGCCATTACCGCTAAAAAACAACCCTTTGTCGTGGATCTTCGTTTCGAGGGCACTCCCCTGGTTGCCTCAGCCAGTATCAGTGTTCTCGGCGTTGACATATCGAATGACGTTCAGTTTCGCGGTCATTTGGAAGACAAGGCCAAGCTGGCCTCCAAAAAACTGGGTGTGCTCAGCAGAGCGAAGCAGTATTTCCAACCTGGCCACCGCCTCCAGCTGTATAAGGCGCAAGTTCGGCCCCACATGGAATACTGCTCGCATCTCTGGGCGGGAGCACCCCAGTACCAGCTTCTTCCATTTGACCGCATACAACGGAGAGCGATTCGAATCGTCAACGACCGAGCTCATACTGATCGGCTCGACACTCTGGCGCTGCGGAGGGACGTTAGTTCCCTCTGCATTTTCTACCGCATATACCACGGGGAGTGCTCTGAAGAATTGTTTGGAACGATTCCTGCCGCCGAGTTCCGTCATCGAACGACACGACAGACCGCCAGGTTCCATCCACACCACCTGGATGGCTGGCATTCCACAACGGTGCGATTCTCGCGCAACTTCTTGCCTCGCACAGCCGCGTTGTGGAACGGTCTGTCCTTGGCGGTATTTCCAAACCAATACGACTTAGGGTCCTTCAAGAAGCGAGCCTATCACCACCTCAAAGGCCGGCAACGCATCTGCGGTTCCTCTGGTATTGTTGATGTCCATGGGCGTCGTTGAACACTTCGGTGTTCCCGCTGCTCGTTTGCCCCCTTCTGTTATAAAAAAAAAAAAAAAAAACAATAGACGTTATTTTATTTTTTTAAAAATGTCGAGATGATATTAATATTTAACTAATCGCTGGTTTCTGAGACCAAAATCTTTGCATAAAACATTTGTTTTAAACGGGTATTATTCTTCTCAAAAACCCATGGTTAAAGAGATAATAAGGTCTGAAAATATTCCTAAAAGAAATGTTATAAGAAACACATTATAAGAACATCTGTTTTTCTTTAAAGATAATGAAAGGGATGGACATATTGTTGTAATACAGGTGTTATGACAATGGAGACTCACCATAACGTAACTGCTAACGATGTGGTAGCTTATTGAAATATAAACAAGCACCTTTATGTCCTGTGCGGCCTTCGAAACTAAATTGCTCGAGAACAACAAATTAGTGTTAAAAAAGATTGATATTAGCAGCCCAATTCGCACACTGTCAAATTAGCTATTTAATGAAATGGTTCGGGATGGGCAGCCATTTTGATTTTGTTATAGGCTGTCCGAATTTTCTTGTAAATTATAGCAAGAATAATAATATAGCTCAATTTAAACGTTCAAGGGTACAGTTATCTTTAGATTGCAAGTAGTTACATACTTTTGTCCACTTACAAAAATATCTTACTTAAGAAAAAGTTAAACTTGTCAATGCCTTAAATATATTTTAAGAATCATGTATTTAATGGTCAAATTAATTAAATTAATCTTAAGGCGTTGGTATTTAAACTTAAATGCATTGTTTAATGAGATTATCGGACTTACGATTTAGTTCTTTTATATTTAAAACGTAAAGTTGTTATATAGTTTATGATGTATTTTATTGTGTGTTAACGTAAACGTAGTAAAGTAGTGACGTAAAAGAATATAAAATCTATTATAGTTCCTCAGTTTTGTTCATAAGTAAGTGACAAATGACATAAAGATGTTTAATTAGAATGTTCGTACGTGAGTGACCAGTTGACTCTGTGCAAACTATTTTATTACGTCGTTTGGTATCTTGAATGATAAATGTGAGCGCGCACCCTATACCCGCGCCGACGTCAAACTACTCACTATTTGAAAACTGTTTTCCGTGGCGAGCTGATTATTTTTCGTTATAGTATATCGCGATACAATTATAAAGTGTTTAGCGCGTCGTTAGGCGGTCGTGGCGTCGTGATCGGTACATTATCGCGCGATGCTTCAGGAGATACGGCGGGGGATGCTGGCGCAGACGCCGCGCCGCGCCTGAGCCGCGCACACGCAGCGCACTCCGCAGCCGATATGCACGCCGACCCAGAGTCGCCAGCCTGCCGTGAGGAGGCCCACCTCCTGCCCGACGAGTGGCTTAAAGTGAAGACTGTGCCCGCAAATGGGAACCTCTCCCCGGGCGTCTACTATCCCACAGTCAGCAAGAGGTTCGTCGAAGCGCGCCACCCTGTGCCGTCTCCGACTGAATCCACTCCGTACTGTTTCGCTTTTGTCCTATCGTCCGCTTTCCCCACATTTTATGTTTAAATAATTATTTTTGTTATTAATAATTTTATTTGATAAGTTCATTAACAACATTAACGTTAGCGAAGGTTATCCTTAGCGTAATGCATATAGATCATACGACTGAATATAAGTTTACATGTGTAGTATAGCGCTGAGCTATGAATAAAGAAAATCACCGAGTCGAGACGATACTATAAATATTTCGTGTTTGGTTACAGGAGCCGGTCGCATAGGCACGGCGCTACCCGTAGGACGAGACGTCGAGCCATACTTAAAAATGGCGAGTGCAACATACTCAAGTCCCGCATATCCCAGCGCCGGCTGCGGTTCCTGCAGGACATGTTCACGACGCTCGTGGATGCGCAGTGGCGGTGGACGCTGCTCGTGTTCACTCTCTCCTTCATCCTCTCGTGGCTCGGTTTCGCCCTCATCTGGTGGTTGATAGCTTTCACACACGGGGACCTGGAAGAGGACCATCTACCTCCCATGCAGGAATCCTCTAATTGGAAGCCGTGCGTTTTCAACATTTATGACTTCACTTCCTGCTTCTTGTTCAGTATAGAAACTCAGCATACGATAGGCTACGGCTCACGTACCACAACGGAGGAATGTCCGGAAGCTATATTCATAATGTGCTTGCAGAGCATAGTCGGTGTCATGATACAAGCGTTCATGGTAGGTATAGTGTTCGCTAAGATGACGCGGCCAAAGCACAGAACGCAAACCCTTCTGTTTTCAAAATACGCCGTAGTTTGCCAGCGCGACGGCGAGCTGTGTCTGATGTTCCGCGTTGGAGACTTGAGGAAGTCGCACATTATCGGGGCTAGTGTCAGAGCTCAATTAATACGATCCAGGACGACGAAGGAAGGCGAGCTGCTATCACACTACCAGACTGAATTGGAGCTGAATGCCGACGGATGTGATAGCAATCTGTTCTTTATCTGGCCTATCACAATGGTACACAGGATCAACGCCGAAAGCCCGTTTTACGGAGTGTCAGCGGCGGACGTCCTGCAGGAGAGATTCGAGATAGTTGTCATATTAGAGGGAACTATTGAATCAACGGGTCAGACTACACAAGCCCGCTCCAGTTACACGACAAGTGAAATAATGTGGGGACACAGATTCTTGCCCTTGGTGTCCTATAATCGGGAGCGTCAGGGATATGAAGTAGACTACTCCAAGTTTGATGAGACATCGCAAGTGGACACTCCGCTTTGCTCTGCCAAAGAGCTGGACGAGTTCTACGGGAACCAGCCTGATCGGAGATCAATTGGTGAGTCACATTTTTTTAGTAAAATAATATCAAATGTACTATGGTGATCGGTATTGAATTTTGTGTGTTTTTATGTGCGCTAGTACGTTAGAAATTTAACTAATGTCAAACAGTATAATTACGAAAAGTAAGCCAGGAATTATTGTTCAAGTAATATCATCATAGGAGTATTTTTTGATAGGCCGTTTTAAGAATTATATCGCAATTTTAAATAATCTTCAGTGTTTTAAATGAGAAAAGTATGTATGTATTTTCATAAATTACCAAATCTTTAGGTTCCAATATATGCACATAGTATATTTCCGTAGCTTGCTATTCTGAATTATTATCTGCTTTATTATTATTTATCTAGGGTCAACAGACATGTTGTGTTTGTTTCTTTGCTGTGATAATGCCTAATTTATTGTCTATGATACGCGTGGAAATAAATTAGTTATGTTTATTCTGCATACAAATATGAGTTCTTTAACTTATTAAAAAGATAAAATGACGTAGGAAATAGCATGAAAATAGAACTTTTATCTTTTCATATAGTATGTTTATTAACTATAAATAAAATATCGATTGCTATTCTAGTTGTTTACAGCAGTTATCGTCTATATGCGACCTGTTAAGTCTGAGACATATTAGTAATACGTATAGATTATAGAGGCTGTTGTAAATATCATTATATTGTAGAATATTTGAACATCATTTAACGCATTCAAAACAAAATAATATCGATTATAGAGATTCTTTTATTTATGAATATTGACGGTTCTTTAAATGTCATTATAAAGGGTTTTGACTGTGTTTCGATTTATTAAATACTTTTATGCTTTTTAGTGTGGCTGGAAAATTCTATAATAATATAATTTTTATCTAACGTAACTTGTGGTAACAAAGTAATGATCAATAAATAATAACTTAGTATAATGTTGCTTTGTGAACTGTAGAAATAATACTATATCTGTAGGTAACTTATCTAAATCAATGCATCAAGTTGAAACAATATGTAGTTATTCATATTCGATGTGCGTTATTTGCGATATAATTTATGAAGCGTGACAAACACTTGCCAGTACTAGAGTACATTGCGTAATATGTTTTATAATAAATTTTATATTCACGACAAAAAGTGTCAATGGAAAGTTAACAATATTTACTATCAATTATCAGTTCAAAATATGACGTTAAACACAACCTTAAAATTATAATATTTGCTATATACAAACATCTACATGGTATAATATATCAAACTATTCATAAGTCGCAATATATTCTATAAAGATATTATATACCCGGAAGTGAAAATATAAAGTTAAAAGTGTACAGAACGTCGTAGACTGGTGCTACAAAAGTTCGTAGCACAACCGCGTCAACTCCAAAGAGTAGATCTTTATACAATTGAAGTCAAAGATGTTTAATAGGTTGAATTTAAAATAATTGAGGATTAGAGAACAATAAATATGTTTAAATTATATTTTTGACGTAATACAGAATACGCTGTTTTATGGGAAGGTGTGGTTACTTATGAAGTAAATATTCATTTAATTTGTAGCACACGTTTGTTACTTATTTTGTATATGAAATCATAAGCCAATTTTGCAGGCGGTTTTACGAGTTGAGTATATTGTTTTTATCAGACATCTTATCGAGATGGATTATCTTACATTCCTTAGTGTTGGTAGAACCACCTTGGTTTTGTTATCATGTAATAATAATTATTATTCTGAGATATATTTAAGTTATATTAAAATCTTAAAATAGTATGTTAAAATATTTCTTTTTTGTTTATTTTATAAAAAAAAACATAATAAAGGTTATGACGTATAAACTTACATCACATAATGACGCATATTGTCTTCCTAGTAATTGCTTTGTGTGCATTAATTATTATTTATTAATTCATGCTAATTCTGCTTAGGATGGAATTTCTAAGGAAGACTTACGATCTTCGTGCTTTATTTGAATCGTTAAATATAAAAAATATATGTTATTTCCCTAGAATATCGATAAAAAATTGCTATAGAAATAAAATTGGATAGTCTAAATGTAATATCGAAAATAAATATTCGTACACAATAAATATTTTAAGTTGCTGATAAAGGAAATGCAAATTTTAAAATTTAGATTTGCCTGTTCGTAATGTCGCATTTGTTCCGGGTAATCTCGGAAATAGCTGGACGGATTTTAAGTGGTTGCTGATGGGAAGGTTTAGACTACTTTTTTCTTTATTCTGCGCTTACGAAGTCGCAGGCAACCGCTAGTGAAAACTTATTGAGATCGGTAAATCTTACAAAAGTAGCTTAGTGGCAATAAAACAACCTCGAATTAAGATCACGTTTTGATAAAAAAAAATCTTTTGATAATTTCTTTACGACGTTTTGATAGTGAGTAAGATGTATCAACTCAAGTGGTTTCCCTACCTTGATCTTATAAACAGGATGTATCATTTTGTCAATTTAAGCAGCCAACGAAACTCTCACTGTCTATCCCCCTTTTTGAAACAGGATATCCATCTTATTCCTCATGAGCTCTGAGAACAATTGATGTAACTAAATGGTCAATTTGCAAACCATACACCCGAATGAATGCTCATGGAAACTTCTAGTATGTACTTTATTTAAATCACTGCAAATTACTGCATATCATATTAGTAAAGATTGCGACAATCGTTAACTTTATTTGTTCTTATCCATTTCCAACTAATTCTCGCGACTATTAGAATTATGTGAAATGCATTTGTAAAGTAATTACAGTAATTGTTAACGAAAGATGCTATCAGTATCCTCTATTGCCAGTTTATGGGCAGTGGTTGCTACGCTATTTTAGCAAATTCTGATGGCCGCTTGCATTGCAAACTTATGATACAAAAAATCGCCAATTTAAGTCATTCTATGTTCTACAAAGTTTAACATATTTTCATAGCTTTTACTGATTTGGTTAGACATATTATTTATTCTCCCTGGATCTTGAAGTTCATTTAATTTTACTAAATTACAGTGTCACTTTCCTAGGTGTCCTATTTTCCAGCAGTGATCGGAAAAAGATCTTGGCAAATAGTGCTTCAAAAATCCAATCGTGGTGTTAGTTACTTTCTTATTCGTTTTAGGAAAACAAAAATATGGAGTGAACATCCAAATACAAAAAAAATATACTGGCATTTTTATGAGCGTACTCTGAACTATTTTTGTTTGGAAATACCGCATGCGTAAGGGACTTGATCAATTGTTTGATTTCGATGAATTCATATTTTTATTGTCATTTCTTAGAGCTTATATGCAATATTAAATTCTATTTATCATTGATTCAGTTATCAGAAATATAGGTATTTTATATGATAAACAAATGATACCGTCAAAATTTGATGGTGATTAATCGGTTCTTGAAATAGTGCATTATTAAAAATAAATGAAATACTAATACGTAATAATTGGAAGCAACTACTATAAATGGGCCACGGAAATGTATCAAAATATACAAATATGTTTCTGTAAATGTACCTCGTATATCAATAACTCGTTCCATGTTTGTCATTTTTTGTTATATGACATTGTGTTTGTATGCTTATGTATTTGTCTGATTGTATGTTGTGATGTCTCGCAGAGAGCGGGGAACACCTCGTGCTGAAGATGCCGGAGAGACCGACAACCGAACCTAAAGCTGAACAGAAAGACGGAGACTTCACTGTCACTTTATAAATTAATTACAAAAAGATGCTATTTATACGAATATAAAAAAAATCGATCAGAAACGAAAATCTTATGAGTTATTAATTATTACGTGAAAAATGATTTTTTTTAATTTAATAGTAAAGTTGCGAATCTCATGTTATAGATATAAGTCTCAATAATTACATAATTAATTATTAATTAATATTAACCAGTACAATGATCACAATTCCAGTTATATAACTAGTCATTTAATAGATTAATAGAGGATTTATAATCTCAGTGATAACAAGGTTAAACCTGAAAGGTTGTGCAAATAATTCTAATTTAACGTATCAACATTCCAGTGTCGTGTTGTATTTATTCATATTTGTTGTATGAAGGTTGAAATATATTAAAGTACAAAGTTGTAGACCGTTTTCGTTTTTCATTCGCGGAAAAATTGTTATCAAGTACAATACAGATGAAGTGAACTTGGAAAAAAGAAGGTTTATTTTACATAAGTTGTCGAAATGTTCACTTATGTTACAATAATTTATGTCGTTATTATAATGGTAACTGAATTATGTTCTTTTACGTAATAGATAATGTATATTTGCTATATCGTTGTATGTAAATATTGAATGATAATTTATGTTCCAATGTTTATTCGTGTTTGATTTTCAATACCTTTCCGTTGTTGTACATGTTATAGATTTTAGGATGACTTTTAAATAAAAAAAACTACGTACTACTACAACTACACTACAACTGTACTATACATCTACCAGGTCTATTAAACCTGGCGCCCCGACCCCACGTCAGTGTACTAAAACAGGGGAATAATATTACTCGCATACACTTTGTTAAATTGTAATAAGATTAAGTATCGTAACACCCCCACACACACACACACTACACAATATAAATAAAAGCATTTTTTACCTAAGTATAAAGTTAAATCTAGTCAAATTAACAAATCAAAATTCGAGTTTAGTCCTGAAAAAAATGACCCTTCAAAATTATCTCAATTCACAAGTATAGACTTAAAAAAAAGAACTTCATGGTATTAGATTTAGGACGGAGGTACTGAATAAAAAACCACGCTTTGTAAATGTTTCCCCTATCGCTGCTTTTGTTTCTGTTCGTTCTGCTATTGTGACGTCTACTTTTATTATCAGGTAAGCACTTTAGAAAAATATATCGAAGTAGATAAAGAAATTCAAAGAAGTTAATTATTAAAGAATAGAATAAGAAACCAAGAGAAATCTGGTCATTATAGACAACTATTATATTAAAAAGATATTTTATTTTTAAATCAGTTTACGTTAGTAGCACTTAATAACATTAAAATTCCAGATTCATCTATTAAAAAACTGCGCAACTGAATCTATATATATTACAACACAATAAAAAAAAACTCACATAATAATTAACTTGTTTAATTATAATTTGCAGTTTACTCTGGCAACACATCATTACCTCAGGAGATTATATTCGACAGTGGTAAAGGAGTTCCTTCATCACCCCTCATCAATATAGCGGACAGGCTGGTTGTTGATGCTATCAGGAGAGCCAGCCTTACGAATCGACCATCTATTGTTAAGTATCCGCCTGATTACTTTAACAGCCTCGAAGATCACTCTTCCTCGTCGAGCGAAGATGAGAAAACCAAAAAGAAACAAGGCTCTAGAAAAAGTAGTGGAAAAGGTGTTTAGGTTAGCAAAAGCGCCATCTATTAATGAAAAGCGGCACAAAATAATTTTTGTGCAGTTATTTAAAATATTTTTTATTTCTTATCTAAATAAGTTTAATTTTATAAATAAAGTTGTACTTTAAGTAGTAAATATAAAATTTATTTAAAAAAATACGTAATGCTATAGAAATGTTGATGATCTTCAATAATGTATCCTATTTAGTTGTTAATTTTGTATATGTAATGCAGAAAATAAAACAATTGCTAAGTATCAATATTTTGTTTTATTAAAATACTTTTATATCAGGAAATACAAATCTTTAAATGGCTACACTGGCAGCGCCCGCGCCGCTACACATCTTTCATCGGGACATCGAAATAAAAAAAAATCATCAAGTGCAGTAAGTAATTAAAACACCGCACATCAATAAAACATATTTATTAACATGTATTTGCATTACCTATTTAAACAAAGCATTAGTACAACTAACACTTAAATATTTTATTAGACAAAAACTACCCAAAATTACGTAAATATTTTTGTCATAAACATTCTATTCGTGGATGCACTGTCGAAACATTTCCATAAAATATGTTACTTTTATTTTGTTATATTAAATATTAAGTAACTCTTTCTTGTTAAATTGTGTCTTTCGGAGTTTATAACATGTTTTATGTGTGTTTTGCAGTGTTCATTCAACTTTTTTATACACCACATATTAATATGTGTAATACAATGGAAAGTACAATTTGTAGAAAAATCAGATCAGATTATTTTTTCTTTCAAAAATAGTAACTTTGTTTTCATACAAGAATTGGATTTGATCCAAAAGGAACGAAGTCGCATAAAAGGCTGTTTACACTAGACTTTGTGATCGAAATTTTATTTCGAAATTTTAGATACGTTATTAATCCATCATTAGTTTGACTGCCGATAGAATGCCAGAATAAAAAAAAATATTATTAAATTAACATTAGTATACTATATATTATGTATTCACGGGGACATATAACATGGTTAATGCCGTCATTTCAAGTTAACATAAACTAACATAAAAATGTATATTTCTTTAAATTACAAGAGATAAATTATGCTTTGTTTGAGTTTTTTCTGAATTTCAATCGTTTTAATTTTAAATACGAACATGGTAACACTGTAATTTTACAGTCCGATATAAAATAAACACTAAATATCCCAGGATGTTATACTTATTTTATTAATAAATAAATTGTCTAACACAATATCTCGTTTTTAATTGTTTTTTTTTGTAATAAAATTGTTTTTAACACAAAAATACATTTATACTTTCTAGATAAAAAGAAGCTTTTTTCACTAAAAATTTAAGACTATTTATTGGTATTAGATACATTTATATAATTTCTATTTGGCACAAGCTCGTAATGTTTATCTTAAAATACTGCAAAATACCAGTCTCAAGCACAGAGTATGCTAAAAATGTAAGTACGCCTCGCCGTATTTTAATAATTTTTATTATCTAAATAAAATATAGACCAACAACGTTATCTGACTCGATGGGGATAAGCTGAACTAAATTATGATAGCGCACTAGCGCCCTCTTCTTAATGTTATAAAAGTTTCACAGGGTAACTTTTCGTATTAACTCATGTCATGTTTTTTTCTTGTATGTGATTATTTATGGCCATGTTTTTTTTAACAGAACAAATCGCGATTGCAGCGCCTCTCACCAGGTCAGTATCCTTGTTTGACTATAGCTTATGAATCTGTATGGGAAGAAATTTTGACAGTTGCTTTTTAAAAAGTGTTTTAGTTAACAACGTTGTTATTTTAAATTAGTAAAATATTATTGAATCATGTGACAAAAGTTTTAATGACCATGATATTGGTAAGTTTTTAGACTTTATTCTTAATAATTAATAAAGTAGACGAAGTTTTTGATATTTTTTGTTTACTAATAATTTTAACAAATATGCTTGTTTGGTCATCATGGTTTCTTCCCATACATTTTTATTTCGTGCTTAATTTATGTTTAGTTGAAATTATATAGATTTAAATACAATTATATTATCCAAACGAAGACCATTATTACGAGTACATGAGTTTCTAATAACATTTGAAATTGAATATTAATCTGAATTGTTCTAGTGTAACATTTATTTATGCGTATGTTGATTTATAGCATTGTTTATAATTTTGAGGTTATGTGGGTTGTATTGAGTGGGTAGTAGTTACTAGCTAGTGATGCATGGATCTGGAATACTTCAAGCCGGCTCTGGAGCTGGTGACGTCACCAATATTGGTATCGGATGAACTGGAATCTTCTCTACTATGTGATTGTCACTTGGAGATCTGAAAAAGAAACATTTTAGGATGATATTTATTTAATTGCTTTAATATATTATTAACTGTAACAGTCAGATTTTAAAACGTGGAATTTTGAATACTTTCTAATAATAGTTATTAAAATTAGAACAGTAATTATAATAAAAAATAAGTACTTATAATGTATATGTAGTAGAAATAGTGATTTAAGGGAATGTACAAGAAGCGAGAGAGGTGTGTCAGGACCCCAAATGGAGTTGCGTGGTCTCTGCTTACCCCTCTGGGTTATAGGCCTCATGCCTATTGTCGTTGTTATTATGCATTATTGTGCTTCGTCGGAATAATTTACGAATAATACTTCATAATCGGCAACCTTCACGGATGCAATTTAACGCTTAAAACAATTGGCAATGGTTAATAATCCATGAAATATCTTAAACTCTTTGTACCATACTAATTTTAATTCAAAAAATAAAAAATAAATGTATATTTCCCAGATAGTACTTCATACTCGTAGACTTACGATAAATAAAATTTTACTATATCGATCTTTATTTCAAGATACTTTATCTGTTTGGACACTATTCTCTTCTGTGTGTTCGTTACAACTGGCATTGAACAGGTTACTCATATTATTCGATAAAAGAAAACTTACTTTTTAATTTTGTGGTCCTTCTCCGGGCCGTGATGTCCGACACCGTTGGGCGTGAGTCCATGCGCACGTTTCATGCTGGCATGGCTGTGACAGCGCTGTATATGACCATCTTTCGTTTGTACATTATCAGCTTTAATTTCTATATTCATTCCTATCATAGAGGGGTTTTTAGGCAATGGTACTTGACCGTTTTCGACAACTAAGTGACTATGGTTCTTCAGTTTCTCGTTGACGTGCTGCACGAAGTTGTTCTGTGCCATCAGTCTGTTCTCTCTGACTCTTGCTTCTGGGATTTTGATTTCAATGTGCTCGTCCAGAGATATGGAATCGACAGAACTCAGATCCAGTGTGTCGTTGGAAAAGGTCTTTGGTATTGTTCCTAGCATACGATCTGAAAACACAAGTTAATGGCACGTTAGTTTATTTGTAAAGGTTATTTTAGAAACCACAATACAAAAATTAAGTAGGAAATCAAAAAGATACAAAACTCCATGATAACCTAATCTTGTGAAATTTTTTGGAAAAATTGGTTCTGGAGATACCTTCGAACAAACATCCATCCATCCAAACATTCGGATTTATAATATTATAGTATGATAATAAGTAAAGTGGAAAAATGTAACTTTTACCAAAGCCAAAACCATCGCCTTATATGTTTTGGTTTCAAGCAGTATAAACATACCTAATTTCTGAGAAGTGGAAACAGTAGCCCGGAGTTCATCCAACTGTTTTGCGGAACATAGTGGCGTGTCAACTTCGTATGTGTTATTGAAGCGAGTGTAATCCACCTGGAAATATGTATAAGCTTTACGTTTAGGTTAAGTAAGGAATAAACGAATGATAACAGAAGACTTGAGTGTTCATTACAGGTAATTGACCAGTAAGAGGTAAATACAAAAAATATCTGAATGGGATTAAAACGATTGGTAATTTTTTTTATAAGGAAAAAGGAACTTATTTCCTCATAGCACTACACGTATGAAATTCGCAGAATATGTACCTGTATACCTAACCATAAGAAAAAATAACGAAGATTAATTGTTTGAAGTCAACAGGTTTATTTTTACGTCGCGAACATTGTTGGAATAAAAGGTTTTTACATACAATACCACATAAACGTTATGTTCAAGTCGTTTTTGAGATAATTTCTCGGAAATTTTTCTCTTAAAGGAAAACTTTCTTATTGTTAGGAAGATATTCCGACACTGTGCGGTGTATAGGCGCAACACTAGTCTTATAAAAATATCAACATTTATGGCCCCTCACTATTCATTCTGACACTAGCGGCAACGAAAGCGCGCCATTCGCTCTAAATGATTCTAACTAATAATGTCTAAAATTATAAACAAAATAAATCTAACCTCGTACTCTCCAGTATCTTTTCTGAATGACACCATTGTTTCAAAACGATGTCCCCATAGAATTTCAGATGGTAGGAAACTGCTGCGTGCTTGAGTCGTCATACCTGTTGACTCGATCACACCCTCTGAAAATAATACGGTCAATATGTTATTATTATAATATAACAAAGCAACTATTGTTCCACCTCAGATTGTCAGTTACAGAATTATTAAATTCCAATTGTAAGCGTTTGACCAAAAGATATTATAAACGGTATTTATAAGTCGTTTTGTTATGTCTAATGTTAACATTAAAAATGTTTTATCTAAACTAGTTTACTAGCATTTTACTTATAGTTTGTTGACATAATTAATATGTTATAGAAATCTGACAAGCACATAAATAGTTTTGACATATGCATATTCTAAAGCAAGTTTTAGGGCAAACGACCAAAACATAAGAGGAGAAGTGCCAACAGAACGTAGTATTGAAACAACGCTTTGCGTATATTAATAGGTTTTACGTGGAATAGAATTTGTTCTAAAAAAGGAGTGTAGGAAATTTATTATGGAACATTGTAAAAGGTTGACTGCTGCTGTTACACGGGATATTTGGTAGCCGAAAAATCTGGTCATGTCGCAGAAAATAGTATGTGTTTGTATGTTTCGTAGGAACCTACGGGAAAAACGACACTGATTTTTTTCCGATACCTTACCTAACATAACAACTATCTCGAATCTTTCTCTCAGCATGTCAGAAGCGGAAAGGTTGTAAAGAGGTGATTTCTCATTG